ATTTACAATAGCCAAGACTTGGAAACAACCGAAATGTCCATCAGTAGATGACTGGATTAAGAAACTGTGGTACACTTATACAATGGAGTGTTACTCAGCTATTCATTCATAAAGAAGAATGAAGTCTTACCATTTGCAACAATATGGATGGACCTAGAGAACATTATGCTAAGTGAAATAAGTCAGTCAGAGGAAGACAAATACCATATGATCTCACTTATATGTGGACTCTAATGAGCAAAGTAAACAGAAATAGTCTCAGAGATATAGAGGAAAACCTGATGTTTGCTAGATGGGAGGGGGTGGGGATGAGGGAGAAGGGGAAAGGATTAGACAGCATAAATTGGTAACTACAATATTGCCACAGGGATATAAAATACAGTTCAGGGAATATAATTAATAATGTTGTAAATATTTTGCAGGGTGTCAAATGGTCACATGTCTTGTTAGGGAGACCACTTCATGGACCGTGTAGAGGCTTGACCACTGCACTGTATACCTGAAGCTGACATTGAATAATATAGTATGTCAACTATTATATATATATATATAGTCACAGGATGTGGAGTATAGTGTGAGGAGTGGAGTCAATGGAATTGTAATAGATTTGTATGATATGGGGGGGGCGAGTGGGGCAGTTAATTGGGGGAGCGGGGTTGTCACTTTGCAAGGGGTAAAAAAGTATAACTATTGCACTGTTATGTACACCTGAAACTAATAAAAAAAATGAACATTGCAAAGATAAACTTAAAAAAAAACAGATGTTATTTGCAAACAACAATATTAAGTAGAAAATCATAAGGAATCAAGAAGGTGGAGGGTGGAAAAAAGCTTCCTAGAGCAAGTTCACAGGATACAAGGTCAACATAAAAAAGCTAATTTAATTACTATATACCTGCAGTGAACAACTGGAATCTGAAATTTTAAAAACAAGAGAATTTAAAATAGTACCAAAAAAACTGAAGCACATAGGTAAAAATCTAACAAAGTATATCCAAGATTAGTATATGGATAACTACAAAACACTGGGCCCTCTCAGAGTTTCTACTGACTTTTTTTTTCCTTAGTATGGGTTAAACATTCTTATTCTTTGCATGTTAGGATGGTAACTATACAGTTTTATTGGGGAAAGGATTTGAAGAGCAAGTGTTCTACACACTTTATTTTTTTGTTCTCTGTTCTCAGGTTGGATAATCTATATTAGTTTATATTCATCAAATTTACTAATACTTCTACTGCTACTACTAATTTATTAAGTACAAACAATGATTTGTTATTCAGAAATTATATTTTTCACTTCCAGAATTTCAAATTGGTTCATTTTCAAAGATTCTATGTCTATGTTGAGATTTCCTATTTGTCCATTCATCATAAATATTCATTCTTGTCTGCTAAATTCAACATTTGAGTCATCTGTGGTTTGGTCTCTATTGATTGCCTTTCCTTTTCAGCATGGGGTCACATTTCCTCTTTTTTCATCTATGTTGGATACTCAACATTTTGAAAGATAAAGAGGCGACATTGCATTCCATTATGTTCCTCCAAAGAGCTGACGTTTTGTTAATAGTTAACTTAGCTAAACTCAAACCCCAAACTCTCTACCCTGTAATGGAAGCAGCTGCAAGTTTTGTTCTGTTCTTTTAGCCCTAACTGGGCTGCCTGGAATGTGGGCTGCACTTGAGCAACTCAACCAGAGATATGATCACATTTTGCAGATTGTAGAGCTCCTAATCTGTAGCTTTCTTCAAGGTGGGATCCAGCCCCCTCACTTTACTAAAGCTGCTGTGTTGACTCCCCTCCAGTTTGTGTCTGCTTTTTGTCACTGTCCAGTTCCTTCATATCAGTTTTCAGTATTTTGGCCAGAGTTTATAATTGCTATCTATGGGAAATATCTTTGTCTAAATAAAGCTACTCTGCCACTACCAGAAGCTAAACTCCCCAACAGACTACTAAACACAGAACTCTGACAATATAACTTCATTCTTAAGATAAAAAGAACTTTAAACAAATATTTAATGCTAGTTAGGTTTTCTTTATTGTGATGGTATGGTTAGCAGACTGGAAACTACATGGGTACAATGAGGACTGAGCAAATGAGAACATAAATTCAGTATAATGGGAACATAAAAGCAGTATAATTATTTCTACTGGAGAAAGAAGTTAAAATATGAAAAGAGCAAGACTAGAATGAAGTCTGTGGTATCAAATTAGAATTAAAAGTCTCAATATCAACTCATGAAAATATAACACGTATGTTGGCTTTCTCTGTGAAAGACCCTGGAAGCACAGACATCCTGCTGGCAATGGGCACATCATACACCCTGATTTTGCTTTCCAAATACTACATCCCACTAAAAGGAATCAGAACTCCTTGGAGAAATAACTGATTCCAGGGCTGGGTAAAGGACAGTGCGAAGTAAACATAGAACATCTTGTGAGGGCGGAAAGTAAGGAAGTGCTCAAGGATGATGAAAACTTGTGAAAACGTTAGCAGAAACCACACAGAAGGGGTTCCCACTAGCCAGTACTGGTACATATGAGCATTGAAATAGATGATAGAGATTATTTATGGGGGGTGGGGGAATCCCTTCCTTATAGTAATACAGTGACTAAAACGAAGAATAAATGATAGATTAGAACATCACCATTTTGAACTCATCCTTGTAATATATCATTCAGGCATGAATCATGAATGGATAGTGTGGCAAGCAGAAATTTTACAAGTGGCCCCAAGATTTCATGCCCCCAAATCCCCAGAACCTGTAAATATGAGGAAATATCACACCTGTGATTGTGCTATGTAAAATGGCACAGTCGACTTTAAGAAAGAGAGGTTATAGAGGGAGGTTAAGAGGAAAGGGAGCCTAATGTAATCACGTGAGTCCTGAAAAGTAGAAAAACTCCAGCTGGTGGCAAACGGTGGGAGAAGAAGCAAGCAAAAGGGTAAGTCAGAGAGATTCAAAGCATGAGAAAGACTCGGTGTGCTATTGCTGGGTGTGAAGATGAAGAAGGCCATGTGAGAAGAAAGGCAAACAGCTTTCAGGAGCCGAGAGAGAGAATCCTGACCAATAGCTAACAAGAAAATGGGGACCTTAGACCTAAAACCACAAGGAACTGAATTCTGCCAACAACCTGAATGAGCATGGAAATGGATTTTTCCAGAATCTCCAGAAAGGAACGTCATCTTACTGACACTGACTTTGGTCTTGTGATACCCTGAGCAGAACCCAGCAAAACCCACTGGACTCCTAACCTACAGAACAGTTATCTACAGTGAGATAATAAATTTCGGTTGTCTTAAGCTGCAAAGTTTGTGGTAGTTTGCAATAGAAAATATGTAAGTTAACTTTGGATGATGAAAAGAGTATCTCCATAGTTTGAGAGTAATCGTCAACAAATTACTTATTAGTTACTAGGGAATAAATCATAACTTTATATATTATTTAAGATTACTATAGTAATATATTAATATATAGCAATATATTAATATATTTGAGATTAATATAGCAAAACAACTATAATCAAGTAACCTAAGTTAACATCACCAATAAAGGGAAAAATTATATCATATGCCTTGTGAAATGATGCACTGGTAAGAACATAACACCATTTATGTAATCCTGCCAAAAATAACCTGAATCTAATTATAACTAACCAAACAAATCCACATTGAGGGGACAATCACCAAATGTCATGGTTCCAACAGACAGAAAAATTGTTTCAGATTTAAAAAGACTAAAGAGACAAGCCATCTATATGCAATGTGTAATCTTCAACTGGATCCAGGACTTACCTATAAAAACATTGTTGGTGCAATTTGTGAATTAAGAAAAGAAACTGTGGATTAGATAACAGTACATATTTAGTTTTACCCATCTATTTACCATTCCCATTGTTATTCATTACTTCCTGTGTTTTGGTATTGACATTTCAAATTATTTTCCTTCTGATTTAAGAAAACCCTTTAGTGTTTCCTCTATTGTAGGTCTGCTGACATCAAGTTGTCGCTTTTTGTCTGTCTTTACTCCACCTTCACTTTTGAAAGACGTTTTCACTGAACATAAATATTGGTACTTTAAAGAAATCATTTCTTTGTCATCTAGCTTCTATGGGTCCTGTTGTTAAATGAGCTATCAGTGTTATTGCTGTTCCTTTGAAAGCAATTACTTTTTTCCCTCTGACTGCTTGCAAGATTTTTCTCTTGGATTTTGTGCTTTAGGGGTTCAATTATCATATGCTTAGTTTTACCTTTCCTTATATTTATCCTGCTTGGGATTCAAAGTTTCATGAATCCATGGCTTGATGTCTTTTATCACTTTTAGAAAATGCTCAGCCAATCTCTCTTCAAATTTGGCTTCTGATTCATTTTGCCTCTTCTCTCTTTCTAGAACTCAATTATACATATGACTTAACTTTTCACTGTGATCTAACTCTCTTACAATTTTTGTACATATTGTGTTTGTGTGTGCATGCCCGGTGTGTGCATTCAGCTCTTACATATGTAGCTATCTGTGAAATCCTCAAAACAAGTGATGGTAATCATCACAAGATAAAGGACACTTAAAAAGAAGGAAAAAGGGATGTAGAGAGGAGGTGTTAAAGTGTTTATTTTTTTAAAATTTAAAAACATATGCATAAAATCTATTCAGAGAAGTTATCTAACAACATAAAAATTTAACTCATCATACATGAATAACTGCTAGGAAAATATATCTCTGTACTGTTCCCACTTCTCCTGATACTACCTATTTTTCATAGTCAACATTCATCATCCCCTCTATAAGACCTTTCCATTACACATAAAACCACAAGCACATCCTTCTCTACACACCTATAACCAGAAAACCTTACATTTTCACTTATCTAAATAAAAATCTCCAATATCGAATATTAGCTATATACTAGCTATATGGGGGTATTAAAGCCTTTTAATAGCTGCTCGCCCCAAAAAATAAATGGAAAACTGATTAGAAGATATTGCACATCCTTTTTCAATTTACCTGTGCTTTGGTTCATCATAAGTCTTGGAGGAGAACTTGTTTCCTCAGAGTCTTCTGATGAGTGTGCCAGGAAGTCATGAAGCTTCTGCACCAATGTATTCAATTTGCTTTCACTATAAAAACAAAATATAAAGAATTTCTTTAGCCTGTCATGCATTTAATTAAATGTAAAGCTCTAACAAACTGAAACTACATCTATACTGTAAGTTGCCTGAAAAAAATGTATATTTGAAATAAAAATTAAAGGATATGAATTTTCTTTATTTCTCTGAGGATATGAAAACATGAGTTAACAGAGTTAACACAATGTACCTGTACAGTTAGGGTCAAAATATAATTTAAGTAAAATGCTGATGTGATTTTGCTTTACAACATTTAAAATAATAATTCAGTAATTTATAAAATGTGTTTACTAAGCAATTATCTCTGGAAGTTTTTAGTAATTTTTTTTATCACTCTATCTTCTGCTTGGCACAGAATAATTATATAAATGACTGACACAAGGATAAATAAAAACATAGAACAGGACTTAGAAGAGCTCACAGATTCTCAGGGAAATATTTAAGAAACTAAATTATTATAGCATATCCTGTTAAGTTATATAAGAGGTTATAAAAAGTTAAAAGTTTCAAATGCAGAAAAAAACACATATCCTATTTCTAATAAAATATTTCTTAAACTTAAAAACAAGGTGAAAATAGTTAAAATTGACTTCATCCAAATTCAAAACTTTTGTGTATCAAGAGATACCATCAAGAAAGGGAAGTAACAACTCACGCAACTTGAGGAAACTATTATCAAATCACGTATCTCAAAAAGGTATTAAAAGCCTTTTAATAATATATAATCTTTTAAAGTTTTAATATAAAGAATTCTTGCAATTAAACAATAAAAAGACAATTTTGAAAATTAAAAATGGGTAAAGGACTTAGATATACATTTCTCCAAATAAGTTATACAAATGGCTAGTAAGTATATGAAAAATGCTCAAGATTATTACTCACTTGGAAAATGTGAATCAAAACTATGAGATACTATTTTATACTCATTAGAATGGATAACTTTCAAAATGAAAAGCAAAGGATGGCAAGGATGTAGGGAAATTGCAACAAGTATTGCTAGTGAGCATGTAAAATGGTGTAGTCACTGTGAAAAAGTTTAGTTGTAACTCAAAAAGTTAAACATAGAGTTACCAAATGACCCAACAATCCCACTCCATTCTTTTGGCTAAGAGAATGAAAACATATGCCCATACACAAAACCAAAACCGTACATGAATGTTCATGGCGGCAATATTCATAATAGCCAAAAAGTGGAAAGTACCCAAGTGTCCATAAACTAATGAATAAACAATAGAGTATTTTACTCCAAGAAAAAGGAATGAAATACCATCCATGATAAAACATGGATGACCCTTAGAAAACATTATGCTAAAGAAGGCAGAAAGAAAACATCACACATATTGGATGATTCCATTTACATGAAATGCCCAGAATAGGCAAATCCATAGAGACAAAAAGCATATTAGTGGTTTCCAGGGGATGGAGGAAGAATGGAATTGGGAGGTATGGGTTAACTTTTGGAAGCAATGAAATGTTCTAGAATTAGAAAGTGGTGACAGTTGTACAAAATTGTGAATTTTTTTGAAAAACATCCATTGAATTATGTACTAAATGGTTTAAATGGTGAATTTTACCTTAATAAAAAAGCCAAAAAAAGGAAGAAATTTAAAAATATACATATCTATTTACACAAAAAATAAAACTTGTACATGCACCCTCAAAAAAATAACCAAAACTTAAAAAGTAAACTAACTTGAAAATAAACACCCTTACTAAAAAAAGATACTAAATTCCTAGTAGATAAATGAATAAAAAACAGCTTTTTAAAAGGAATAATACAACTGGGTAAAAAAAAATTAGAGGAAAAGCACTCCAACTTCACACATTATCAACAGAATGCATATTAGAACACGGTGAATCAGGTAACTGCTGTGTCTGGCCCTCCTGAGCCAGGCACAACCCCCATTCAAGCACACGGGCACTGGGCCCCAAGGCCATTTTGCTATGTTTGGTCAGGAAGAGCCCAAGGCATTTAGGGAAACAAAAAGAAATGAGATAACAGACATACTATGACTAGAGATTGTGTGTGGGATTTTGGTTGTTTAATTTTGGTGGAGAGAGTTGTTTTACAAAATTTTGAAACAAACTCGACTCTAGAATAATGCTACCAAGAGGGTAGGATTTCTACTTTTTGCTATAACATTCCTCTGGAAAAGAGTCATATACAAGGAAAAAAAATTATCAAGTCACTCAGTGTCCTTAATCCTAAATTAGAAAATAAAGTCAGAGGAAAAGGTGCTACATGTCAACCCACAGCACACCAAATTCCTTGTAACCAAAACTTTAAAATAAAAATGAATGATGTCATTCTATATCTCATCCCATCAACAGATTACCAAATAACACAAAATTGTTCTTTAGAAATGAAAGTACAGTTAACCAGCAGAATGATGACT